GCACATCAGCAGGATAACAAGTCTTCTCGATCTGGGATTGTTACAAGGGTTTTGGCAAGCCCCTTCTCACTGCGGAAACCATGAGTTACCGCATTTTTACTTCCAACCGGTCATTATCACTTCCTTCAAATGGCTTTTGATACGATCTCTCCTATCACGTTCTCTAGAACTTCTGACCAATATCTTTAGAGGTCTTATGGGTCAAAGCATTATGGTGTACTATAGATGCGTAAATCGTCATGTCGAGATGGTGGATACACATCTGGAAAAGACTTGGATATAGAACTTGGTAAGCTTGAAGAAGCCAATTTAAGATAAACTGTTAAATGTCAATTTTTAGCTAAGAAATTAAAATTTTTATTTTGTAACTAAGTCACTCCTAAACGGGGTTACTACTGATCAAAGTAAAGTAAGGCCTTGTACGAATTTTCCATCCCCAACACTGCAGCTGCTGTAAGATCCTTTGTGGGTCTAGCAGGTTTTTACCGATCTTTCATTGATAATTTTTCTTCAATGCAACTATAACGGAAGTTGACATAAGAAAGATGCTCCTTTCGTTTGGTCTTACCGTCAGGAAAGAGCATTCCAGACACTAAAAGAAAGCTAATGTCCGATCCCATTTTCAAATTCAGTTATTTCTAAAGAGCCCCTTCCATTTTGACAACTGATGCTAGTTCAATTGGCTAGTGCTGTACTAGTCAGAAAGCTGATGGCAAGTACAACGCAGTTGCATTTGCTAGCCGAGTCCTTTAACGAAGGCTAAATGTAAATACTACAGAAATGGAGCAAAGACGCCTTTCGCCCACTAGTCTGTTCTATCACGCCCATCGGAGCCATTACTTTCCAGTACTGTTCATGTATTGACAGACATTGCACTTGATACTTTATTCCAGAAACAAACCCTACTGGAAGGTAGCCCGCAAGCCCTTGATTATCAAGAGTTCAATCCCACTTTTGAACATTTACCTGGCAATGTCAATTAGTCGAGATGCTTTATCTCGACATCTAGTTAGTTACGTAACTGCAGATCCTCTATTTCTGTCGAGGATGTAAAGATGCGCAAAGAACCGATCCCATGTGGTGTGCTGTGATCGATTCAGTCAAGGAAGATCGTATTCTGACTGTGGAAGCCCCCAGTACCCATCAGTGATTTGTAGTGTATGACCAGCCGAGATGGTTACTCCAAGCAGGGAAGAGATTTACCAGTTAGTATTCCACAGTCACTAGTGATTGTAGTCTACAGATAGATCATGATGCACCAGGTGTTGCACACCCTGGTATGGATCGTTCTATATCATTATTTATGCTCCCTCTTGAGGAACTACTGGAGTGGTTTTGTCCGGTCATTGCCTTTGCAGTATCAAGGTCACTTAAAGCTCGTGCCTCCTCTCAGTTGTCTGTATGTCATCCAGCACTATGTTGGTGTATTCCTGTTGCGTGTCCCCCTCTGTCCTGGTCTTCCCAGAGTCCTTCTGTCTCCACTGTGGAATCTTCCTTAAATCTTGTGTTGAGCACCTCGATACATCTTGATTGTTTCTTGTGCGGTCCCCACCCTACTTTCTCAGCCTGATCAGCGGTCTTGACTGTTGTCTTTTTCTCCTGATGTGGCGAAACAGCAGTTTTGGGTCAGACTTTGACTTTCCGATGCTATTGTCGTTTACGTACTGTCACTGGACTGTCCCTCCTTCTTGTGCATATTCGCGTTTCTGGCTCTCGACTGATCCTCCTTCTCATTCCCTGGGTTCTTTGCCTTGTGGGTACCTTTCCATTCGGTAATACACTTCATTTTTGCCTGCCTACACTTTCGGGAAATCAAGACTCGCTATGGTCTTCCCATTGTTTCTGTTGCACATGGGGGAAACAAAACCTTTCCTGTAACACTCCCTTGCTTCTTTTTCCTTGTTTGTTGTTAAATATTCCCCATCATTTCATTTGACTGACTTTCCTAGCAGTTCTCTGTCCACTGACCTCCTGTAGGAAGTTAATCATACTTGCTCCCTATTTAGTTCCCCCTTTACAGTGTGGCTTTTCCATTCGACTCCTGTTACCCTCTCCACGTACTAACTCTATATGTAATCAAAAAACTAGAACTACGCGATCACTAGCTCCAGGGGCGCCTCTTGTAAGTGATGTCCTCAATCTTCTGAAGTGCTCAGGCTATGAACACAACTATCCATTTACTGGCTCATTTCTCCCCTCTCTCTCCGGTTTCAGTGTCTCTGACATGTTGATTGGCATGAGGTTTTCAAGTACCACATCCTATTATCTTGGCTCTCCATGTTCGGGACCCCATGTGGCTCCATGTTTATCCAGCTCGATTTCTGTGTTTGAATTGCCATTCCAGTTAACTTTGCTCTGCTAAGTGAGCTCTACTTGCCACCTCTGCCAGTGTGTCCATCATCGCTCTTGTTGTTTTCTTCATATCTCTCTTTCGCTTCCTGCGTTCTGTGGTGTGGGGTTACACATCTCTCCAATGACTACTTTACATTCACCTGACTGAATTGTACCTACCTACGTAATCCCTTTCTCCAAAATCAGTCCTGCCTCCATTTCCTCAAATTCCATCGGTTTCTTATGAGCAGAGCCAACCTCTCCTTCCCTTTTCCTCCTTCTATCTTTCCTCAGATCTGATACCTGGTGGGAGTTATGGGGGAAGGGAGGGCAGATTGTGTGGAGTGTGTTGTATGTGATGTACTCACTGTTACTCACATAGTTGAGGTATGCAGGGGTTCGAGTCCAAGCTCCTGGCCCCGCCTCTACACTGGTCGCTACTAGGTCACTCTCCCTGAACGTGGTTTATCATAATCTGTGTGTTTGTGTGTGTGTATGTGAGGGTGTGTGGGTATGTGTGTGTGTGGGTGTGTGTGTGTGTGTGTGCGTGATTGTGTGTGTGTGTGTGGAGTGTGAGTGTCGTGTGTGTGTGTGTGTGTGTGTGTGTGTGTTTGTGAGTGTGAGTGTGTGTGTGTGTGTGATGTGAGAGTGTGGTGGATTGTGGTGTGTGTGTGTGTAGTGTGTGTTGTGAGTGTGTGTGTGCAAGATTGTGTGTGTGTGTGTGTGTGCGTGATTGTGTGTGTGAGTGTGTGTGTGTGTGTGTGGGTGTGTGTGTGTGTGTTAGTGTGTGTTGTGATAATTGTCTGTCAGTCTGTCTGTCTGTCTGTCTGTCTGTCTGTTCTGGCTGCTGTCTTGTGTATGTGTCTGTGTGAGTTTGTTGCTCAACTAATTGTGGTTGCAGGGGTCAAGACCAGCTTCCTGGCCCCGCTTCTTCCTTGGTCTCTTCTCTAGTCTGGTCTAAAGGTTTATCATACCTAGAGTTAAAATATGTATGGGTTCTGGCCTCCACTACGTCATTGCAGATAAACAGAGAGACATCTAAAACATCTCTTATGGATTCATCTGAGTCTTCAATTTACCAATTGTGACCCTTGTTTCTGCTTCCCATCTCTTGAACATCCTGTCTCCATCCACCTTGTCAATTCCTCGCAGTATTTCGTTATGTCGTTATCATAATCATACCTAGCTTCTTGCCTCAGTGTCAGTCAGGCCAATATTCCTTAAGTATTTTTTCTTAGAAATTTCCCTTCTCTAGGAAGAAGCCCTTGTTGCAAACCTTTGCACTTTCTCAAATTTATTGACTTGATTGACAGGGTGTGCGTTCCAAAATAGGTGTGCACATTCCCGTTTGCGGCCGACGTACACGGTGGTACAGAGATTTGAACGATTTCCTTACTGAGGTATCTGAACACTATTGTTAAGTTTGCAGGTTCCCCCTCTATGCTGCCGCAGTGTATTTGCGTTAATATGGCCCCAGAAGATGTACTTGTTTGAGATAACCCAAGACTCTTTTTCTAGAGGTTAGTTTTGAGCTTTGACCTCGTCTGCAGATATCCTTCTGTTTTTCTTTTTTTTTGTCCTTCCCCAAGCCCTTATTACGTTAGCACTGTTTCGAGATAAACTTCATGAACAATTTATCGGAGAATGATTGCAGTCATTCATAATCCCGTTGCAGCCCTCGTCTCTCATTTTAGCTAACATCGTATTCCGAGACACCTCGAAACTATTACTTCTGTCATGTTCAGTTAGAATTCAAGAAACCGCACCGGAGACAGTTAATTGACCCCATGTGGGGAACCCCACTCCTACTTCTCGATCTTTTGTGGAACCGCGTTACTTACCACACACCTTGTTTCTTACTGTCATTTGTTCCAGATTCATTGCGGTACTTTCCTGTTATTGCTGACGCTCCTCTTATTCTCAAACCAGTCTCTTAAGTGGTATTTATTCGAAAGCCATGTTACAGTCCAAGTCTACTTCATCCCCTTCTCTCTCTCTCTTGGTCTAACTTCTCTTACTTGTCTTGGAACTCCAGAACGGTTTCTGAGGAGGAGTTTCCCTTCCTGAAGTAATGATGGTGTCATATATGAACAATTCTTTTTCTACGTTCTCCAGCACTCTAACCGGATACTCAATCTCGATAACCTTACATGCTATTACATGTCAGTCACATTGGTCCTTTACGTCTAGTGCTTTACCCTTCTGTCTGACTCCTTTCTTTTAAAATCAGGACTAGTTAGATCTCTTCAACACCTCATGAGTTGCTTCTTTCGAAATATTTTTTGGAAGAGATTGGTTCTTAGTGGGCACCACAGGAGGTTGTATTCTCTTCCCTATCGCAATTGAGTTCAGCCCTTGTGGTGCACCCTGTCACCTCGGTTTACTGGAATGCCTCTCTGTTTCTACTGAGATTACTTGGAAGTGTTTGATGAGCTCCTCACATCGTGATTGATGTCTGTTATGTACTCACCTAGTGTGGGTGTGTGTGGTGTGTGTGTGTGTGTGTGTGGTGTGTGTGTATGTATGTTGTTGATTGTGTGGAGTGTGATGTGGGTGTGTGTGTGTGTGTTTGTCTGTCTGTCTGTCTGTCTGTCGTCTGTCTGTATAACAAATGCTTCTCAGTTAGGAACATTTACTAAAACCATTCCAATTCGTGTCATTGTTATCAGCTTGAGAGTGAGACTGGTAGTGCATCCAGAGCTTCATGGCTGAACAAGGTCTTCACTAGAGTGACCAACAAGGAGCAGCTTTTGGCCCTCGCTAATGTCCTCGCAGGGGATTTTCCTCACTCTGTCACTGTGAGTTACCTTTACTGATCTTTCAAAGTTTAGGGCTGGAACGACAAATTTATAGAAACCAGAAATTATCCCAAATGGATACATAGCCGAAAAAAATTCAGGTCTTTATTTTAACTTCTGCTTTACTAACTCAACGTGATTTTTGTTATGCAATGTAAAAATGCATTCTTATTTTAAAAAGCAAAGAAATAAGCACAGACAGACTATGATCTTCATCAGATATCGAATAACACCAGACCAGACAAGTGTGTAAAGGTTATACTGGTTTAGAAAGACACGTAAGCAAACACTATGACATATTTATTAGAAAACTTTTCGGTCCTGGGACCTTGATCACTTCTAACATACAGATGTATGTATAATGTTCGCCAAGACCGTAGTCCTGGCACGGGTCTCAATCTACCTCTAGAGGTAGAAAGACATTATATATATTGGCGGAAAGTGAGGTGTGGCGCACGTGACCTGAGGAATGTCATAAGACATAAGAACATAAGAATGGAGGAACACTGTAGAAGGCCTACTGGCCCATGCGAGGCAGGCCCTTATCAAAACAACCTCTACCTATGAGGAGGACGGGTAGACGATGAAATCATGTGACTCCTGTGTTTTTGGGTTGGTGGTGCTTAAGTATCATGTATGCCAGTGTTTTCAAAAACATTGGCATACATGATACTTAAGCACCACCAACCCCACGAAAGGTGACGTGTGGGGCTCCAGTCAAACAGTAATCACTCGACTCACAGCTCCCAGAACTAACCTTGGAATGACAGATTGGGTCACTTGCAAACCAATGAGAAGATTTGAAGGAGACGGACTAACGTCCTGAGACGTCCCATGTTGGATCTACCTACCTGTTATGTACGCCGACGCAGGACATAACCCCATAGCAGTGGTAACGAATCTGCTTTCCTGTCATCTGGATTAATTATGCAAGGCAATAGAATCTGTGAAGAACGAGCCAGTGGGTTGTCACCAACACCTGCGACCCCCCCCCCACATCATCAGCAACAGCTGCGATTTCAACAACATGCAGTGTCACTAACACCGGACACCCCAGTATCACTATATATATATATATATATATATATATATATATATATATATATATAATATATATATAATTATATATTTTATATTTTTATATATATATAATATATATATATATATATATATATTAGCGTTGAGTTCAAATGTTATTTTGTTCTTTCCATTTTTTATTTTTCTTTCAAATAGGATATACATTTCATGTTTCACTGTTTTATGTTTGCATTAATAAATAATAAAGTGTTTATCTTTGAATTATTATTTCTTTTTCTATTCATTGATTTTCCTGAAGAGGAGCCAGCCTTGGTAATACTGTCTGAAGTTGTTACAGGGCTGAGTAAGCCTTCACAAGTGGCGACCTTGCCAGGATCAACGCTACTGAATCAAGATTCAACTCTATCTCGAATCTACCATTAGAACTTCAATGCTGCATACCACAGATGGTTACCACCAGCCATGAGTAATCATTCTCTATGGTAGGACTACAGTACAGGTATTAAAAAGATTTGGTGATTGTTATAGTCTTAATTTATTGTAAGTAAAGTCAGGCAGGATATAACAGTTAATTCTGCCACCTTTTTTCGAGCTTGAAACACTTTGGAGGATTAGACTCTAGGGACCCGAGATTTTCCAGTGAAAATTTATTTCATTGAGCTCTTTATTTTTTCAAGGGAACTGTTAGGACCTCTTTTTTACGGGTAAAAGTTTGGGTGGTCAAGGACCCATTCTATTACGTTTGTGGGACCCGGCATAGAACCCTTCGTTTTCATTAATACTATTGTTAATTAAAAGCGGGGGATCGGCCCTTGGTTTATTTCATTTTGAGCGGAGCAGGAATTAAACACTCTTTTTCTTTATCCCATTTCTTTTTCCCTGATATTTTTTAAGTTCTTGCAAGTAGGAGGAAAACCATTTTGGATGATTGCTGGAATAAGTTGGAATAAAAGGGAAAAAATTTAGAATCTTTTATTAGTGCTAAGCCCGGAAACACTTGAAAGAGAGAGAATTGAGAGAGAATAGAGACAGAAAGGGGAAAACCGGGGGAAAAAGGAGAGAGGAAAATCGAAAGGAAGAAGAAAAGGAAGAGATGAATCGAAAGAAAAGAAAAAAAAGAGAAAGAGAACCTTGAAAGACGGGGAGAAAAAAAGGAGAGGAGAGAATTAAAAGAGAAACCCAAGAAAGACATTTAAAAAAGAGAGAAAGAAGAAAAAAAAAGAGGTGATAGACTTGATTTTGGGGGAAAAAAAGCTAGAGCCCTGGGGGAAAGAGCTAGAGAACTGTTAAAGGAGAGAAAAAAAAGATCGCGAGTCGGAATGCTCGCCTTATTGAGAATAAAAAGTTCTTTTCACAAAAACAATTAGGGGGAAGGAGAAATTTTTACATCATGCAGCTAGTGCACATATTCCAAACCCCAAATTTACCCCCCTTCAAGAGGGGAAGCTTTACTTCATACATTATCGGGTTTTGAAAATCCGTACCCTCGTGAATGGCCTGCGAACCTGGCACCGGTTAGGAATGTTATTTTCTGGTCAGCTTTGAATACTAGAAACTTTGTCGCAGGTATCTTTTGAAATTATAACCACTGAAGAAGGCAATCCTTAAACATTTTAAAAAAAACACAAATTCTTACAGGAAAGTTCAGTATGCCACCTTACGCTGGCAGAACTTTCGCAGTTAAGGAAAACCCTTTCGTTTGTTCGATTTTTGGTAGAGGTTCAAAATTGATCACAGTTATAAATCTCTTAGGACTTCTGTTTGCGACCATTTCCCTGCAGCTTTTCCCTCCCCAGTTACGAACATTCATTAGAGAAGTAACCCATGTTTAAAAGCTGGGAAGTTGCTGAGGCTGCTGAATGATGCGGGGCTAAAAATTTCTATAAAAACCAAAAGGGGGTCAAACCCCTAAGGGAAGGGTTAAAGATCTTAAAAAATCAAAGCTCTAGTTGATAAAAAACTAATTCTTTTTTTCCCTTTTTTCTTTATGGGTGAAAGGGGACAAAAAAGTCCGGATTGCCCCTCTAGAGGCCCAAAAAAATTTGGGAAAGATGTTTTAAAGATTAAAATACCAAGCCCCCTTTGTTCAGGAAATTTTATGGACTTAATGTATCTCCCTTTTAGAGACACGGATCCCAAAGTAAAAATCATTTCTGAAGCTTTTTCCCTAATCTAAGAAATATTCCTTGCTATACTTTCAGACGTTTGGGGCCCGAGGACACTTTTCCTACCACCCTTTTTACTTAGGTCTAAATGGTTCACGGGTTTGGGTCTGAACCCGAATATCCCACACTTTTGCTCAGTATTTAAATAGGTAATGTAAAAGGGGGGGGGTGCCATTTTCCCTTTCTGGGGTAGACCTTTCATCCCCCAAAAGACGGACATAAGCTTCTCGACCCTTTTCCCTGTAAGTCAGAGAACCCCCCACGTAAGTTAGAAAAAGACAATGTCCTGAGTTTAATGGGGGTTTAAAAAAACCGTGATGCTGCTCTCGAAAGCGAGGTAGGGGATCAGGGTTCACTTGTTAGATGAAAGTGAAGAAATCACCTCCGATACATAAATGTTTGACTGGGGGCTCAACCAAAGCCCAGGTTCCCCCCTACTGCCATCTTTGATTTTCCCTGACTTTAACCCTTTTAGATATATCAAAGGGCTTTTTTTCCCAAAATTTTGCAACGTAATTGCCCTTCTCTTCAGAATTGCCATTGCAGTAGACAAAATCAAGTTTCCAAAGGAAAAACTTTTCATAAAAATTTTTAATATAAAAAAGGTATTTTAAAATGGGTATTAAAATTAAATTTATAAATAGACTGTTCCACTTAGTTGTTCCAAGTCAATGCACAGAGACTTTTCTTAAAAATGTCATGCCTCCCGGGGCCCGGGAATTTCTCGCATATAAAACCTTAAAAAAAATTTTGGAAAAACCATTTTTGCCCCAAAATTCCTCAGATGCCACTCCCTATTGTAGTCATGAAAAGTTTGCCAAAATCTCATCCTCCCGAGGTCCAGGGGTCCCTACGGCAAATGCCCTTCTTTACGGTACCGTTTGAAAAAGGTATTTTGACATCGTTGGTCCTTTATCTCCTTTTTCATCTGGGGACATAGATTATATATTAACATTATTGTTTATGCTTCGAGTTCCCTGAAGCCGTCCCCTTTAAAGACCTCACTACACAGGGGTGGTGAAGCCTTTTTCTCCATCTTCTAGAGTTGGCTCCCAAGAGAAATTTTGTCTGCCGGGGGGAACAATTCCCCTGTGATTTTAATGCAACATCTTCCCTTTTGGGGAGTGAAGCCATTCTTCACCACCCCCTATCTCCAAGCTGAAATGGGGGGTTTGGCCCCAGCATTCGTTTCTAAAGTCATTTTAAGGAAACTTTGCCCCCTTAAAACCTAAGGAAAAGGGGCATCGTTCCTACCTGGGCTTTGTTTTCCATGGGGGAATTCCCCTGAATTTGGGGGGTTTTCCCTTTTGAACTTCTCTAGGGTAGACGGGCCAGAGGCCCATGTCCTCTTTCTGACTTAGGGGACTAAGAGGACAAAAAGGTGGGGTTTCATTTTCTTATAGTTTCCCCCTTGCCCTTAGATCCAAACTTGAGGAGACCTCGACATGTTTCAAAAAAATTTAAAGCTTATAAGGGACCATACAAAATCTATTTTGTTTCCCAAAAAAGTCGAGGAGAATTTTAAAAAGATCGGATAAAAGTTCTGGTCTTTTGCTATAAGTCAAATCAATATTAGTAGCATGGAAAGGCCCAAAAAAAAAGAATTAAAATTTTTGGGGGGAAAGTTGACTACTCTAAAAAGTCAAGGGGGAAACCTAAGCTTAACATATAAAATCCTTAAGAAAATTACCAAAGAAAATTGGGTTAAACTGCTTAAAATAATTTTGACTAGTTTTTCCCCACACAAACTGATAAGACAACTAAAGAATTAAGGTGGCTAATTGAACCTCTAACTTA